TTTCCAAAAGTAGCTGACAGGTCAGGCTCGTTTGAGCTTCACGTTGTTGTGTTGTAAGTCCTGGTAACCGATGACCACACACTGAATAGGGTAAGGGTAATAGAGGACACGTAAAAGGTCTCGCACTTGTCCAGACTCTGTACAGACTGTCACAGGAATTGTGTATTCTTATTCAAATGAGACATTTGAGTAGCAACCCAGTTACATGCTATTTTAAATGATGGAAGTAGACCACGGCCTGCCGACATTGAATGTGCAGTTTTCTGCAGGTACGGTTGAACCTTGTTAAAAAGAGCATTGTTAATACAAGATTCTGCGTAAGACAAGGAAATTGTTAGGTCCCAATCCTTTCTTTTTCATTGTTTTCATTCCTGATAATACAAGGTTCCTGTTATAACAAAGTAATTTGCCAAGTTCAAAGGACTTCTTATTAACGATGTTCAACATGTAATTGTAATTGCATGTAACATCAATAAAATCCTTAATCCTCCACTCAACCGTTTTGTTTCTGATTGTTTCACAAACAATTTCCCATGGCTATGCATTCTATATGTGTGCATAGATTTGTTTCCCGAGATGGTTAGTATTAGTAACCAATCACAGGGAACCTGTGGTGTGGTCAGACTAAGTTCTTGGAATAGTCACTTTGTCTGTATTCTTGTTGCTCCAGATTTCTCAAGTGGAGCAAACAGGTGAAGAGCTTCACCGTTCAGCACGTACATGTATACCTGTGGCATTGACCACGATAGAGTTAGCTACATGCATTCAAATGGGTATGACTCCTCTCAGACCCTCAGGGTCACCATATGTAAACCAACACCCGTCATACCTGTACTAGTTACGGTGGAAGACTTCTCAGGATTTTTTGGTGTTTGTAAAGAAGACAAAAGCCCATCAGATCGTCTAGCTAATTGTGGCGTTGCTGAAGCGGCCCTGGATTGGACAATTGTCAACCCAGAGATTAGATTACAACCACATGAAGATGAAAATTACAGTCCACTAAAGTTTGGATGTTGTGCTTTATATATTTATCATCCAGCAGCTCCATGACCACTACAGATAGATTTTCCGTGGAAGAGGGAGGCAAAGCAGTCATCTGGTTTTTTAAGTTTATTTTTCCAAGCAAAATTGTGACTTCCCTTTCCAATGTTTATGTTTGTTTCTTTTGCTTTTTCTTTTTTTGGGGGGGGATCCCTTGTGACCCTGCACGTCCTACTCATGTGACCCCTGTGTTTAATGTTTCAATGTTAGTCCGTTCTTGTGTTTTTAAAAGATTCTGCCATTATACTATGTTTTATGATTATTACTGACTGGCTAAGGTGTGCAACACATTGGCATAGTTCTTATTAGCTACAATTTGTCCCATGTACTGACTTGATACAGTTTGGTAATTGACTGTGGATATGTTCTGTGGCCTTGCAGTGGTGAAACGGTGTTAATTTATTTATTATGAATGGATTACAAATCAAGAAACCTTGTATCTACTTGTCAATATCAGTTGCAGTGTTATGTGACCTTGTCTACCCAACCCAATCGTTTCACCATACAATATGTAAAAGAAAATGTCTTAGGTTAAAAAGAATTCTTGTATTTTAATAGATTAAGGAGTGTCGGTAAACACTAAACACAAACTTATTTATTCAGAATGCAAATAGAACAGTCCAACAGAAGGCCAGATCATTTTGTGAATATAATTGCTTTAAATGGCTGTTTGATCCCTGAGTGGCCCTGGGTTGCTGTCCAGGGGCTTATTATTATTGGAGGAAAAACCATGGCCCCAAGGCCACATTCAGCACAGTCCAGTATGAGATCTCCTGTGTAATTGTGTATGGGGAGTGAACCTTCACTGTCATTTTGTTCCAACAGAGCATCATAAAACTTGTGAAATGAGTTGTTTTGGCGTGCCCCACATCACCAGTCATGCAAAGTAAAATTGCTAGATTAGCTATGGTCCAAATGGCAGACTTTCAGGAAGCTTACTATAGTATTTTTCACTTCTCCATGCCGCTCTAAATCCCCTGCGAATCAGCAAGAACTACCTCTTTCAGTTTAATGTCAAGTTTTTGTCAACATATTTCCTCTTTTAAACAGGAAACACAAAAAAGCAGGAACCGCTACCCTAGTACACGTGCCATCTTTCATGCAAAACACTTGAGCTTTGGAACATACAAATAGTAAAAGACTTCTGCCATTCGCTCCCTTCTAGAACGTCAGAGCTTGGCCATGAATGTTGAATATTTGTGGAGACAGTTTAGCTGCATTAGACGTACGCATGGGTATGTCATGCACATGGGTATGAGACATGTACTGAGCATTGATAAGCATATGCCTGTGTTATTTACACTAGTCACCAGTAACTCTGTGGTCTTTCCAAACTACCAGCACAGGGATTGACCTTGTTTGCCCTTTTCTCTTTAAACTAAAGATTTTCCTTATCTCTGGAATTTCAAAGCTTTTTTCTTTGCACAAGTGGTTCCTTTATGGTAGGCAGCAAAGTTGGTATTTGCGTTCGATGACGTTTTCAGTTGTTGACTGAATTTGGAGAAGCCATGTCACCACACTGCCAAATGTTAGCATTTCCTTGTTTGGTCTGGAGCACCCCTTATTGCCATATTTGGCATGGTCAAACACGGAGAGCCTAATCCATTTTTATCATGTTGATTTACCCTAACAGTCCTGAATCCTTCAATTTCAATTTCAATTCACGTCTTCACATACCTTATGGGGTGGTTATATTAATGTTGAAAGTTGAATTAGGAATATTAAACAGAGATATGCCATGACCACAAATACAGGAAAGCAAATAATGTTTATGGAGTCATTTCACTGGCATTGAACCAAACTTAATGAAATTCATGGATGGACAGATCTGAAGTGAGTACATGTACATCTATTTTTATAGCAACAAGGAGCTGAACCTCGTGTTTGGCCACTGGGAAATGAAAAAGACGTTGCATTATAAGATTGTATGGAACCACACAAAGTACCCTTTATGTATAGTTCACGTTATAATCCACCGTTGCATTTCTGTTGCATTAAAGATGTTGTTCAACGATGGAGGATATTTGTGTGAAATTAGGCTTATGCGTAACCGAAAACACAAAATAAACATGATTCTTTACATCTCACCAATTTCAAAATAATTTTTAGAATCTTATTTCCCATTCTGGATTATTAAAATACACCGACGTTGAGACTGGTAATGTAGGCTTGGAGCCCTTCATTATTGTGTACATGTAAATACAGCAGCAAACAGTTGTAGGTATTCCGACTCCCACATACCGCATCACTCTTTATGAAATGGCAAAATGAAATCGAACACTGTTGTTTTTTTTTTCTCTCAAGTCCCTCAGACCCCCTAAACTGCTTATTTTTTTTCTTGCATTGATTTTTTGAATACACAGTTTTCAATATGAGACCTTGTCTCATATTGAATACACAGTTTTCAATATGAGACCTTGTCGCTGGGATATACATGTATGTACTCTTTATTATAAGACATATTGCAAAAAGTTTCCTTCATCGTTGAACCACATCTTTAAGCAGGGTTCCTAAATCAGGCTTTCTCAGCCATGTTGGATTTTGATGTAGAGTAATAATTAGGGCTTAGATGTGGGAGATGGGACCATCATCTCCATGCCCACCACTTTTTTACCAGGAAATGGGCCCATTCAGGATCTTAAAAGACCTCCCTTCCATTACCTATCGGATATTGGGTGAATATAAATCTCACCTAGCATAAGTAAAATTGATGCTTCTATTGTATTTTGCTGTGAATTATTTTTTCTTACCATGACATCTCAGGTAAAGTTGTACAGCTGATTTGTGAACTGCATATAGTTCTGCAGTTGTTTTATTTTTTGCCCAAGTTATTGATAATTCTGTCATCTTTTTCTGTTTTTAATGTACTGTATGTAAACTCATTTGTCCATAGGCCAGATTCTCATTTCCTCTCTCCTAGCATGCTCCCACTTATTCCAGCATGTCCACATAGGACAGGGAATCTCTCATGACCCAGTTGTATGCTAATCCTATTTGCAGAATTTCTTATCACTATGTCCCAGCCCAGCCAGACAGTAGGCATGAAGGACCTCAGTCACATAGGCCTTTCCTACTACAGACACTAGACCCTCCAGACAAAGTTGTTATCCAAGGACAACACTAGCAACACCACATGCAGACAAGTAACCAAAGTGGTACTCTATCTACAAGTCAAGTTTATCTTCCCTGTGTTTCGCAGTTGCTCATATTGTATTAGTCTGGATGAAATAACCACTTTCCTTCCCCCACATTTGATCAAAGTGAAATGGGTCATTCTATAAATTTAGGGTGCAAAAGTGTGACATTTTTGTGTCCCTTATAAACACTTGACCTGTGTTATTTGACATGGAAATATCACTGAAATGGGTTCCAACTATTTCTATTTGTTTGGCAGGTAATTTGCATTAATTCGTCACTCTTGGAAATGAGAGAATGTGATCTTCACTTACAAAATCATATGTCAGATTTGACAGGGATACAAAAAACGTTTGACCCCTAATTTATAGAACTACTCCAATATCACTGACATATCGCATGTACAAAAAATTGACCCCATGCATGGGACATAGATCAGTACAAGGCAGTGATAAATATTTGCTGTTGGCAGTAAATGTTCATGTGTTTCAATTTTACTCTCCATCTGGGAAATCTGGCCAATCTGGGTATGCATTTAAATTGCAGAAGGTGAATTTTATCTTTAAAAAAAATGTGCCGTAATGAAGAAGATATAGCCCAAGTCATTTTTTAAAAAAAAGTGAATATAGTTTGCATAATTCTTTGCGACATATATTGCCCCTGGGCCTCATTTGACACTGTCACTAACTGAATTTCAGTTACTTTGAATCAAGCCAGTTTGCTCTATTTGTGGTAGTTTCCCAAAAATTCAGCCTTCACAAGTTCTTGGATCAATTTCATTCTCTTTTGTGAACTGGTTGCATTTTCTTTCCATCTGAGTCCAGATTTTCCTCAAGGAAAAGGTGCTCGATGAGGAGGGCTACATCATCTTTGTGCGTAAAAATGCAGTGCAGGTGTTCATCCCCAAGTATGGATTTGAGGGCACGCTTTTCTTGAAAGGACCAGACAAAGACAAAGATGGAATCTTCCACTACAATGAAGAGGTAGGAAAGCTGAGCACGAATGTGCTCTTGTCTCTATACTAAAGTTTTTCTTTTCAAATTTCACCGCTAAGTGAAACAGTTTGAGTACTTCTAGTTTTGGTCGCAATTTCTATTTTGCATTAATTCAGGATTTGAAATTATATTGTGATTTGAAATTATGCAAAGCCCTTAGATTGTTTTTGTTTCGTTTTGAATCAATTCTGATTCCCTCTGTTTCAGTTTTCTCTTTTTTTAATATCTGCTCTGGAGCTGTGTTTCTGTTTCAGCTTTGTAATTAAGATTTTAATAAATTGTAGTTGTAGTTTCACTGTATTTCACTGTAATTCCAATGTGAATTCCACCAGCAGTTGAAAGTTTTTCAAACAATCAGCAATAAGGACTGACTGTGTTTCCACCCGGAAACTAATAAAACAAACAAGGCAGTGTGTAATTGCACACCTTCATTGGGGTCACATTGTTGGAAGGTGCAATGCAGTTTGTCTCTGAATGGCAACATTTCAGCCAATGACCCTCTGGAGGCTTGGCTTAGGCCATGCCTGAGCTAAAAATGGCCCAGATTGCCTCATTTAACCTTGCCCTGAAAGTACAGCCCAGGTACTGATACCAAATCGTGGAAAAAAATTTCTTTTCATGTAAATGGGCAACAGAAACCCTCTGCATGTACTTTTTGGATGGATTTTGATCTGCCTTGAAATGTAGGGTATCTTTGTTGCCATCACGTAAACATCTTTTGGTGATAAGATGTGCTTGAACCAGCAGACCACATTGATTTGGTCATTTTTCAAATTTGAAGAGGTTTCTTTTATGCAGTGTTATCACAGTGAAAAATTTCAGATGTTAAGGAAAGAAGTACATATACCCTGCATGCTACCACAGTACCTCATGTACATTTTGTTGCTTGTTGTTTGTAGAAAAGATGGATGATTAATGCACTGAGATAACACATTCAGTGCATGTACATTGTACATGTACATGCATTGAATGAACTGCTTCAGGTGCTGCACATACAATGAGTGGAAATGTTTATGTCTAGTTGTGTTGCTTCAGGCTGCCACCTGGTACATTGATTGACAACGGTCCCTTCAGTCACATGAGCATAACTGACTGCATGTACACATGCACACATGGCCGGGATTACTTGTGCCTGCACACATTGGCCTGTGAAGTGTGAACTCCCACACTTGGTCCACTCCATCCAGTAACTGTGTACCAGCTGGATGGAGTATGGATTAACATTTGCATGTTGTGAAAGGCTTCCCGTTATATGTGCACAGGCAGCTAGGGGCTGTGCTTACAGGAGGTTCAAAGGTCTGCTTTGTTGAGGTTATTATCATAGGGATGGTACTGCGCAGGCGTTATGACCTTCATCCACTGAATATTCAGTTTTGCCCAATTTTAGTAAAAACTGCTTTTCTGTGGAAAAAGGTATATTTATCGTGAAAAGTAAAAACTACTCTACGTCACAATTTTGTTGGGCAGTTTTCATGCCTTTTTTGAAGATGCTTCCAGGGATCAAATGCACATTAAACAGGGGTTGACATTGAAGCTACTGTCACTGATTTGAGTGGTCTTTTCAAACAGATTCAGCCTGAAATTTGTATTTGGTATCGCTTCTCGGCC